GGCAGGACAAGGACGAGTGGTCTCCCGGAGGACATTGAAGAGGAAACGATCCAGCGGCCGCTTCCGGAGTGCGCGGCATTGGGGCACGCCTGGGAGTGCGCGCGCGCGAAGGTCGTTACCGCGCACCGCGTTGCCAAGCTGCGGCAAGTCCTCCGCACGATATGTTTTGTCCCCCCCGCTTCTGTGGGCCTCGCGGTGCCGGCCGATAAGGGAATGCCCTCACGGCTAACGGAGCATTTGGGGGGAGGGGGGGGGGTCCCCACCAGATCCTCATGGGCCCACGCAGCGGCGGCAGGTGTCTGGTCGGGGCCCTCCTAGAAGAGGAGGATGACCTCACCTCTCGCCTCGCCTCCACTGCATCCATCCCTAGGGCTGTGAGCTCGTGGGCAGGGACATGCAATACGCCACTAGTTGTGACGTGCCGTGCACCAGGGTGGGGGGGGGGACAATCGGTAGTCAGCATTACCCCTTTACCCGCGCCCCGCCGCGGCGCCGCCAAGCACTGTCGGGCGGCACTCGGCAACCTGCCCGGCGGGCGGGTAGGCTGCCCAGGCGCAGAGCGCCGCGTGCGCGAAAAGTCAGCGGCGCGCGGAAGTCTAACTACACCGCGACACCGCGGCCCGGGGCCCGGCCGCCAGCGGACAAGGACGCCGCTGTGCTGTGAAGTATCGAGGTCCCAAGGCCCCTTCCCTCCTTCACGTCCTCACCTCTGCGCCGCGCCGCGCTCGCTCTCCCTTCCCTCTCGCGTCTCCACCGGCGGCCTCCATGCCCACAGCCCGGCTGGCCGGCTCTAGAGCCCGGCTCTAGCCGCGACCACCGCGGCACAGGCCGCCGCCTTGCCCCGCCCCCACCACGCCTTCAAGGGTGACGTCATACCGAATAAAACTCACGGCCAGTCAGTCGGCCCGTCCAGGACGCCGTTCACTGAATCACTGCGTCGGCATGGAATGTCTGACATCACACACACACAGTCACAAATGAGGGGGCACAATATTTGCAGTGTTTCTTGATTAGTGCCATTTCATTGATTCCGGGGGTCGCTTTAGCGAGAAATGTGACAAGCCACAGGAAACGCCATGGCCCGTCATGGCTGTCGTGTCGGTCTGCCGCCGCACCGTCGCCGTGCCTGTTTCGACAACCATGTCACCCGTAGCCCGTCCTGACAACGACGGCAACGACGGCGGTTGGTAGCAATTACGAGTTGGTCCCTGTGTGCTCAAAATAGTGTCCAAACAAAGCGACGAGCCGTCCTTCCACCAAAGCAACAGACACCAGTCGAGAGGGAGATTGAAGGAGGGAGGAGGGAGGGGGGGGGGGCGTGACATGATGGCCTCTCGCGGCACCTCCCCGACGGACGTCGACGGGCAGGTGCCAAGTGACCCTTTTGGTCGGCAAGCGCTCTGCTGTAGGGCCGTGGTGGCCGCGGGGTTCGAGTCGAGTTAAGTGAAGACCACTCACGTCGTTTTCTTCGAAATTGAACTTCCGCCTCATTTTCTTGCCGACAGGCGCGGGACACGGCGTTGACGTTAAATTCATTCCCCTTTTGCTTATTTACTCGGAGATAAGGAGATACCGTGGGCCGCAGGGACCCGAGGGGCGGGGCGGAGGGCGGGGGAGTGGCCGCCCGCCTGGCACTAGGGCCTCCGGTGGGGCCAGGCGTAGCAGCCAGGCGGCCCAGGCGGCACGCCCACGGCGACGAGGCCTAAGTGGCGACGACACACCTCTTGCACACTCGGCACCCTAACGCGGGTGGTGCCGGGGGGGAAGGAGGGTGCACCGTCGGGAAGGTGAACATCCGCCACCCTGAGGAGCTCTCACCTGAGCGGGGCGAGTCGCGGGCTGGCGGCTAGCGACAGATGAGAAGAGAACACGTCTGCTGGCGGAGGGCGCAGTGCTGCGAGTGAGAGGAGGAGAGCGAGAGCGGCTGCGGTGACGACAGCGACCGAAAAAATGCGGGACGTCTCACTGCCTTCTGGGAACCACGGATGTGCGCGTGCACTTCAAGTGCACTGCGAATAGCTAGCCAGTGCTGCCACTCTTCGACAAAACAAATGGTGTAGTATGGTCGGCTATACATCAACCTGCATCGTTTATATTCCCACAAATTCTTACTTTTATTTCAAACCAATTGGGTGTGAGATCAAAAGTCCAGTATATGAGTATTGAAACTAATGTCATCTATACAACCGTCTCAGTCCACGTTGCACAACGTGCGTACTGATAAGAAAAGGAACAAACTAAACACAAGCAAGCAGAAGGCACTACAGAAGTTGAGGAGAGGAGGAACGTCGGAACCGTAGGTCGTGGAGTCGGTAGAGAAACTGGTTGTAGTGTTTGCACGAAGGACCTGAGATTCGTTTCATGGTCTCTGGCATGTCATTGTGAGCCGAGGAAGTCCCGTCGGCGCCAGGATGCCCTCGCCGCACGAGAGGCTGATGCGCAGGGGTGGGTCCTGGATGTGGTGCGTCAAGACCGTCAAGTGGTTCCCAGTGATCTTCATCGTGTCTGTCATCCTCTGGTCCTATTACGCATACGTCATACAGCTATGCTTACGTAAGTGCATATTTTCCTTTCCTTTCGCTCGTCCTCATTGTCACATATCCTTATGATGAGCACCTAGCGTCCGACGAACTAGCCAGTTGGTTAGGTTGGTTTTGCTCTTAGGGAGGGAGGGGGGTGTTATCTAACTAATCCACCGATCACTTATCGGGTAAAATCACCGTGTCTAAAGTTTTATGCTCTTTCAGTTGCACTGGCAATATTACTTACATTTTTGTTTTTTCTGTTGCAGTTACTGTTGTGTCTAATATCCAAAGGGGTGAGTGCCCATTGTTTTTGTCATCTACCACAAAGTTCTTCTAATATCCTTTTACTCTTTCTTTACCACCCCCAGCACCTGTTTGTTGGTATGAAGAACGAGTATTGATCACAGTGCCGTGTCACGTAATGTTCATTCATCTCGGAACACGGAACTCGTACACACATGACACTAATACCGCTCACAACTGGAAATGCCGGAATCAATTTCAACAATGGAAATTTTTTCAGGCTTAATAGTATTATTTTGAGAACACTTAACCAAAATTTTTAGGGTTGTCTTTTGAAGTCCCCCCGGCCGCCGAGCCGACCGCCCTTTGGACTCTGTTTGGGTCCTGCCTCCCTCGGGCCCCACTGTTAGGGCTGGCTCCGCCATACCTCGACCGGCCTTCCGTGTGCTTTCTACCCGAATGATCCCTCTTTTTTGTACCCAATACCCTCCTGACTTGTCCCCATTGCCCCCACTCACCAGCAACGAAAGGGTTACACTATACTATGAACAATACTATTATCCTTTATAACATTAAACTTCCATCATTAGTACAAATACACTGCACTGAGAAAATTACTTGTCCTTACTACCAACTGTGAAAGGGAACTGTGTAAAGAACGAGTAATAACATCAATGTTGGTTGTAGTGACTATATACTTCATCCATATTCTTTCTGTTTCAGTTGTCTACATTGTTCTTTACCATGCTTTCTTGTTGTTCTTTTTGTGGTCATATTACCAAACAATTTTCAATTCCATTGGGAAGGTTCCAAGTCAGGTAAGACCTGTAACGTAAATCAGTGTAAATTCAAACTTTGCTGAGAATGAAGCTGTAAAATTACAATGGTAGACAGTATTTTCTAGTAATTTCACCAATCTCTTACAACTCATTAACATTGGCATTACCTTCTTTTTTCCGTTTTTTTATGTTCTAGTTCCGTCTTCCAGCATCAGAGCTGGACAGACTCATGCAGGCTGAAAGTGATGAAGCCAAGATCCAGGTTGTAAAACGATTTGCTCAGAACTTGCCTATAAGTAACAGAACAGCATCAGGTGGTAAGATGACATCTCCACTTCTCCTATTTTCTCTTAATGAATGTTGTATGAACGTAAACAATATAATCATGATCATGATTATATTGACACAGTTTCTCTCATTTCAGCTGTTCGTTTCTGTGAGATATGTCAGCATGTTAAGCCTGATAGAGCTCACCACTGCAGCGTTTGTGGTGATTGTGTTCTGAAGATGGACCACCACTGTCCTTGGGTCAACAATTGTGTGTCATTCACAAATTATAAATTCTTCACATTGTTTTTAGGCTATGCATTTTCGTATTGTATGTTCATTGCCTTGACCACTCTGCAGTTTTTCATCAAATTTTGGAAGGTGAGAACTGTTTATATGCCATTCTAAGTACCCTTTAAACTTAAGCCTATTTTACTGTCACCCACAATTCACATTTTCTCTCTATTTTCAGAATGAATTAAATGGAATGGAACACTTTCATATTCTTCTGCTGTTTTTTGTTTCCATTATGTTTGCATTAAGCCTTGTGTCCCTATTTGGATATCATTTATACCTTGTTGTGCATAATCGAACTACACTTGGTAAGCATGTTCTCTCAAGTTGCTTTGTAGGCATCTAACACATGACATGTGGATGTCTGTAAAGTGTTTTAACACGTTCCTTGCGGTATGACCACTAAGTGGTCACGCTTCCGTGTTACATCATAGGCATTAATAATGCGCCGCAAGGAACGTTTTAATTAAGAAACTGACACCATATTTTTATGTTACAGAATCATTTCGCCCACCTGTCTTCCAAACTGGACCAGACAAAAATGGATTCAGCTTGGGAAAATTCAACAATTTCCAGGAGGTGTTCGGGGACAATAAAAACTTATGGCTACTTCCAGTATATTCAAGGTAAGCATATTGGAATTAATGCAGCATATACAGACAAAGGGTGCTTAATTATGTTATGCCAATCAATATCTTGTAAACTTTGTCATTTGTGGAGGGGGGGGGGGCGTGACATGATGGCCTCTCGCGGCACCTCCTCGACGGACGTCGACGGGCAGGTGCCAAGTGACCCTTTCGGTCGGCAAGCGCTCTGCTGTAGGGCCGTGGTGGCCGCGGGGTTCGAGTCGAGTTAAGTGAAGACCACTCACGTCGTTTTCTTCGAAATTGAACTTCCGCCTCATTTTCTTGCCGACAGGCGCGGGACACGGCGTTGACGTTAAATTCATTCCCCTTTTGCTTATTTACTCGGAGATAAGGAGATACCGTGGGCCGCAGGGACCCGAGGGGCGGGGCGGAGGGCGGGGGAGTGGCCGCCCGCCTGGCACTAGGGCCTCCGGTGGGGCCAGGCGTAGCAGCCAGGCGGCCCAGGCGGCACGCCCACGGCGACGAGGCCTAAGTGGCGACGACACACCTCTTGCACACTCGGCACCCTAACGCGGGTGGTGCCGGGGGGGAAGGAGTGTGCACCGTCGGGAAGGTGAACATCCGCCACCCTGAGGAGCTCTCACCTGAGCGGGGCGAGTCGCGGGCTGGCGGCTAGCGACAGATGAGAAGAGAACACGTCTGCTGGCGGAGGGCGCAGTGCTGCGAGTGAGAGGAGGAGAGCGAGAGCGGCTGCGGTGACGACAGCGACCGAAAAAATGCGGGACGTCTCACTGCCTTCTGGGAACCACGGATGTGCGCGTGCACTTCAAGTGCACTGCGAATAGCTAGCCAGTGCTGCCACTCTTCGACAAAACAAATGGTGTAGTATGGTCGGCTATACATCAACCTGCATCGTTTATATTCCCACAAATTCTTACTTTTATTTCAAACCAATTGGGTGTGAGATCAAAAGTCCAGTATATGAGTATTGAAACTAATGTCATCTATACAAGCGTCTCAGTCCACGTTGCACAAAGTGCGTACTGATAAGAAAAGGAACAAACTAAACACAAGCAAGCAGAAGGCACTACAGAAGTTGAGGAGAGGAGGAACGTCGGAACCGTAGGTCGTGGAGTCGGTAGAGAAACTGGTTGTAGTGTTTGCACGAAGGACCTGAGATTCGTTTCATGGTCTCTGGCATGTCATTGTGAGCCGAGGAAGTCCCGTCGGCGCCAGGATGCCCTCGCCGCACGAGAGGCTGATGCGCAGGGGTGGGTCCTGGATGTGGTGCGTCAAGACCGTCAAGTGGTTCCCAGTGATCTTCATCGTGTCTGTCATCCTCTGGTCCTA